CTATTAACCAAGCTCTGTTCTTTACCTATAAATAAATTAAATTAAATTTTAGAGGATTGCAACACAATTTCATATTGCAGTCCTAAGTATGAAACCGTTCAAATTATAATGGCATATTTTTATTCTAAACTGTTTCCCAAAATTGATCGCCCTGAAGATCATAAAAAACATTTTATTAAAATAAAGTATGTCAATAAAGGTTTTGACTTCGTGCTTACTGTTTGAAATGGATAAAACGGGAAAAAGCTGACAAAAAATCTTTGGACTCTTTTTTTAATTCAGTAATGAAGATAGTTGATATACTTATACAATATTTTAAAGAACATTTTACTCTTAACAACAACAATAAAAATCCTATTTCTCGTATCAAACATAAACTAAAAGAACTAGCCAAGGAATTTGTTTTTGTCCCGGCTGATCAAGCTGCTAATGATATCATTATAGTTTGACGTAAATTTTACATTGAGGTTCTGCAAAAGGAAATCACGAATTCACCAACATTCCAACTGACTTCATTTTCAGAAAACGATATCTGTAACAAACATAAACTATTAGCTACTTCTTTACAAGCAGAACCAAATACAATTAAAGTCCCAACTATTTACCGGCTTCCGAAGCTACACAAATCACCTTACAAATATAGATTTATTTCGTCTTCAAGTCATTGTTCCACTACTAAATTGTCTATTCTACTTACTAGTACACTTGGTACAATCAAAAACCTGATAATAAATTGTTCAAATAAGGCCTTTGAAAATAGTGGAATTAACTACTTTTGGAGTGTCAAAAACTCGTTGGAAGTACTTGATAAATTGCATGCATATATTGGTGATTTTGAATCTGTTCAAAGTTTTGATTTTTCTATTCTATATACCACTTTGCCTCATATTCTTATTAAGAAAAAATTCACACACCTAATTAAATGGGCATTTAAAAAGTCGGAATGCGAATACATATGTTCAAACTCTTTTAGGTCATTTCTAGAAGTAACAAACAAAAGAGCTATGTCAATTGGACATGCTTTGATACTATATCTGCCCTTGAATTTTTACTTGATAACATTTTTGTTCGCTTTGGAGATTCCGTATATCGTCAAGTTATCGGAAATCCAATGGGGACTAACTGTGCACCACTTATTGCGGACCTGTTTTTGTATTGTAATGAGTTACAATTTATGACTAAAATCAGCAAAGATCCATCGAAACAACATCTGATACAAAAATTTAACAATACTTTTAGATATTTGGATGATATATTGGCTCTCAATAATGACGACTTCAGTATGTAAACTAAAGAAATGTATCCTGTTGAACTTACTTTAAATAAAGCTAATACTAACAATGACCACTGTCCTTTCCTCGATCTTGATATCTATATCATTAACGGGAAGCTTAATACAAAAAAATATGATAAAAGAGATGATTTTTCATTTCTTATCGTTAATTATCCATTTTTAGATGGTGACATTCCCTTGTCACCATCTTATGGTGTTTATATATCTCAACTTGTACGATTCGCTCGTGTATGTAACAACGTATTAGATTTTAGCGAGAGAAATTTATATATTACTGAAAAATTATTACACCAGGGTTTTCGATATCATAAACTAGTCAAAACATTTACTAAATTTTATCATCGGTATAAGGACATAATTCGTAAAAAAATTTATATAACTCAACATGCAGACATCTTATACGTTCGGGTATTTCACATCCAATCTTTTATGGTAATATTCTTTACAAAGCACAAAAATGTCAGTATTCACCTCAAAAGCTAACAAAACCTTTAAACAGACTTATTAAGAAGGGATATAGTTACGATACTGTTGTCAGGTCATTAAAGATTGCATATTTTGGCTTTAATATTGATTCACTTATAGGGTCTTTGCATCAGAATTAAACATATTTATTCTAAAACCAGTTGTTGGCATGACACGGGTTATGTTCTTCTCATATATTTTATGACAGTATATTACTAAACCCCTAACAGAAGCGATTGTGCCTGATATTCATATGACGAAGACATAATCTTTCAATCAGTTTAATTGAGGTCTGGAGCTGGCATGTCAGTAACTGCAAGTAGTCTGTTGTTATTTATGTATTATTGTCATTTTGTTTATGTTCTTTTGTTTCCTATTCTGACATCGGACTCGGACTTCTCTTTAACTGAGTTTTACTGTGCGTACTGTTGTACGTTTGTTTTTTCTACATTGGCTAGAGGTATAGGGGGAGGGTTCAGATCTCAAAAAACATGTTTAACCCCGCCGCATTTTTGCGCCTGTCCCAAGTCAGGAGCCTCTGGCCTTTGTTAGTCTTGTATCATTTTTAATTTTAGTTTCTTGTGTATAATTTGGAGTTTAGTATGACGTCCATTATCACTGAACTAGTATACATATTTGTTTAGGGGCCAGCTGAAGGACGCCTCCGGGTGCGGGAGTTTCTCGCTGCATTGAAGACCCATTGGTGGCCTTAGGCTGTTGTCTGCTCTATGGTCGGGTTGTTGTCTCTTTGACACATTCCCCATTTCCATTCTCAATTTTATTTCGTCCGTATGTCTCGGTCTAGCGACATTTAAACAAAAAAATAATATACCAAATTAGGATTTTGACCCGAAATAGTAGTTCACCAAACATGTGATATTGTGATGAAGCGCGGTATCCTAGTATCTGGTGGCATTTTTGGGGATAATTACTGTTGGGGTATGATTGATATTTTTTGAGAAACAATCTCCCAAAAGGTTCAGACGATTATGATTGCGAAAATTGTTCTATACTTTCGATATAACACCGCAATATACTCTCGGAGCTGTAACATTTGAAGTGGGGACGTTAAATCAAATGTCACTTGTACGTGAGCGACTCCTTCTCTGCACATTAAATCACCTTTAAACAACTCTCTGCGAGTTTCGTAGTAGCCCTGTTGCAAGCAATTTTGTTGTTGCTATCCAATGTACTGATTTTTTTTCAGTGGCAGTTCACATTTTCTGCCCTTAATCTAGAACGTTCCAACTACTGCTACGTTAAGCATGCAAGCAACAATCAATCAATCAGTCATTATCTCAAAACTGTTAAATATGTTTTGAATAATTTATTGAAAGCTTTTACTTTCTTAAGTTGTTTTTTTTTATTTCTGTTAGGCTCTATCTCTTCTGACACAATTCATGTTTGGAGATACCTGCTTGTTAGAAATGAAAACATGTATACAAGATCTAGTCATAGATTTTAAATCTCTGTATCCGATACAAGGCGCTTCAATCGGGAAAAAATTAAAACAACACTTTGTAAATCTAATTTGTCCCAAGCGCTTTTTTGGAGTTACCTTCATCATTATTGGAAAGCCAAGGATGTATAAATACCGAAACAGTCATACCCTTTCCAAAAAAAAAAAACTTGGAAAACTTATCTCAGATATTGTTTTTAATACAAGACAAAGTGCCAACGTGGATCAACCTATTTCTGTGATTAAATCAGACAAATAAATAAACTTAAAAAAAAAAACATACCTTTAAAAAATCAAGCATTTGAATGATGAGTCGTTTTTTTCAACTTGATAAATCAACTTATATATACATGATTTACTTATTAACAGTAATATCTAGTTGCAATAAATCAAATATTATCGGGAGTGTAACGCTGTTTTATATTTAAGTTAAACATAAACATAAATTGGTAGAATAATGTTACTTGAATTAACTTCTGCATATTATTTTTTGTTGCACATCTTCCATATCTAGAATTGATGTTCAAATTTATGAAACACAGTGTGTACTCCTATGTAATGTTACATGCATATTGTTATAAGCAAATGAACTTGGCGACTTACATCCAAATATATATGTTCCCTTCAGACGAACATTGTTGATGTTGTATTTTTCTTTTGTCATATTTGACACGATCGCACGTGTGCATGTTTTTTTAAATTGTTTGATTTGAGATATTGGCGGTTTTGATTACGTTTAAGTACAAGGGGATTTGATCAACTGATAAATGAACTTCAAGAAAAAAAATTAAACTGACCTGTATTTAAATATAAAAGTAATCTTTTTACAAATTCGTTTTACACAAATGTACAAAGCTCTTTATGTACCAAAGTAATACATACTCATCCCGACAAGTACAAACTGCTTGAAATTTTAATGTTAGTGAGAACACTTATGTTATAAATACATATCACATGATGACATGCTTCTGAGTGGATACATGTATATCTTAAGATCTATCTATCAAGTGAAATCAAATTAGAAATTTTAACATAAGATAGTCTTATAATTTTAAGTGTTGAATTTCACAGGTTGGTATGCCTAATTACTTTATTATACGTAATAGACAAACAATCGGATACTATATAAACACGTTCATTGGGCGATTGGACAGCTATTTGTAAGCAGATTGCATACATCAAACAGGTAAATAAATATTTTGATAGATAAAGAATATCCATATAAAAGGAAAACAAAGCAATGCAAAAACAAAACCTATCATGCATGAATACAAACGCCAAATACAAGATGACCACCATCTACAATTCACTTAATCATGTTACCCGAATAATCTGCATGTGGTTTAGGTTTTTACTGTATGCTATATCATTATGTTAAATGTTTACCATAACAAACACAATAGTTGACTGCAGTTTGTCGCAACCGATGAAGTTTTCCACAGAATATTTAATTGAAAGGATAATGTAGCATTTAACAGAAAGGAAAGAAAATGTAACTTGACCTTCACATTTTTTAAGACGTTTTTTTAATGAAGAATATACAATGCATTTATCAACAATAGATATTCCTTGACTTAAAATAATAAACTGTATGAAAAATAATAAAGAACAATAAAAAGTGATGGTTAAAAGGAAGCAGCAATATCAACAAATATGTATTCATAAGTGCACGTATACACTAACATATATTATGTATAAGAATAATTGCCATCAATAGGCGCTTGAAGTAATACACCTAGTTTAACATATGTACTCTATAATTTTAGATTGTAGCATCTGGGAATGATGTTTTATTCATACGAAAGCCACAGCAACATTTACCTTGAGGCACTGAACAATGTTATGGTTAAGTTATTAATACCAACTACTGTTTTTTTATTTGTGCTTTTACTAGCCAGTCTGGTTGGTAATTGTTTAGTTGTGTACGTTTATACATTTAAGATGAAATCAAAAACGGATGACAGATATTTCATTCCATGCTTAGCTGTTGTTGATATGATCGCATGCGGCCTTGGAGTATCATTTGGGATTTGTTTGAACTTTAATCCGTTGAACTTTCGAAAGGGTGTAATATGTAAATTGATCTGGAGTGCAAATCAATATACTGCAACGAGTTCGGGTCTGATGCTATTAGCAATTGCTGTGCAACGGTATATTAAGGTCAGCCGACTATCGAACTCTTCTATGAGCCTACGAAGTAAACGATTGACAATTACTGCAATCATAATTGTATCAATTGTTATATCACTACCGTGTGTTGTCTTGTATGGCGAAACGGAGGTCTCATTGAAAAGCGAAAACAGAACAATTACTGGATACAATTGTGGCGCTTTGTCTAATGTGAACCAACACTTTCTATTTGGTTATTCAGTTACGCTATTACTAATATTTTTAGCTGGAATGTTTGCGTTCATCGCATTATATTGCATATTACTTCGTATCATATATAAACAAGAATCTTTCAGGAAGAGGAATAGATCAACCATACGTTTTTTAGGCGTCAGTATACATCATGGTTTCGAGAACAAAATTATAAAAGATTCTGGTTCAACTAATTTTGCAGATGCGGATTATTCTGTTGACAAATTTGAATCTTACAGCACGGACATGGAATCAAAAACGACAAGCAACCAAAAAGGGCACGAATGGAGGATTTGACATGCCGGGTCATATGTCTACTGCTCCTTCTGCAATCCATACAAGACGAACATCAAAATTAATGAGAATTTTCAGTCGAATCAAACCCAAACATCGATTCTCTATAATGTTTTTCCTTATCATACTATTATTTTTTATCACCTATTTCCCTATAATTGCATTGATGATTATAGAATCTGTGATAACAAGTTTCTGGGATACGTTAACAAACGCTGAATACGTCGTAGTTTTGTGTATTTACAGAGGATATCTAATGAATAATGTTGTTAATCCTGTAATTTATTTAATATTTGATACAATTTTTTAGAACATCTTGCAAACAACTGTGTTGTAGAAATTGACGAGACTACAATAATGTCAAAAGGATAAATACAGTTATATTCTTCGAATTGTTATTATTTATTCATTCATAATATTCAAATTTACGTAGCATTACTTCGATAGCATTCTGAAATCTAGAATATACATTTCTACACATTTTTATATCACCTCTGCTCAATTACATCAAACAGGTAGACATATTTGATATTCTGAAAAGATGGCACATACGTCTATGCATACCTTTTCAGTGGAAGAGACCCCCGTGTAAAAATGAACAAAAATAAAAAATCATTTAGTATTACAAACTAGTTTTAAATAAATTCATTGCTATCTTTTCAAATATTTATATTATTCCGTGTTCAGTGCATTTCATCTTCCGAGAGGACACTAACCATGCAGATCAATTGAAGCATACATGTACATATATAAAACAACGACTTTGGTTATTGAATTATCAACATAAAGATGGCAAATAACTATGAATAATTATGATCATTAAGTTACCAGAACACTTATAAATGACAAGAACACTTAATAGATACAGGTACTTGACCCACCCACGTACATCAAATATGAATAAGATGATGTGATATGAGTGCTATTGAGACAACTCTCCATTTGACTTTGATCTGTGATTTTATAAGGCATAGTATACATAAATAAGCAATGCTCTTGTATGTATTTTTAACTTTCTGAATTGCATCATAAAGCCGTAAACAGTTTTATGTCTTTACCAGCTATGCTTACACAGATACAGTCGATTGAAAGTTTTTGAAATAAGTCTATAGATGTACAGAAGGTATGTAAAATATGCATTTTTCCACTTCGAATTGCAATTTCTAGATATCTGTCCATAACTTATTGCTATTAAAATTTCTTTTTTAGCAATATGAAAATATGATGAGATCACCGTTTCATTTATATTGCCTACATCTTGCGTCATGAAGTTATTTTTGTTTTGTCGTTTTGATTTTCTTAACGCTGTATATAGCTGATTTTGACTTTTGATTTTTCGTTGTGATGTCATAGTACTGTCCAAGGTCAGAGATGAGTCGAACTCTCAAAACTATATATTCAGCCCCATCAAATTTGTTATATGCATGTCACAAATTAAGAGCTTGTAAGTTAGTGGTCGTCTATTATATTTGCAAATTTCGTTAAATGTTTTTTCATAAATCAGACTTGGTTTTCTGCTTTTCAAAACACTTGGAAGGTCAAATTGAATATGTAGGTACTGATAGGGGTGCAATACCTCTTGAAGCTATTTAATGTTGTTGCAGTGGTGGATTTGTGACAGGTGAAGTACATGTGTAATACAACTAATGCATGCTACTAAATTTGATTCCACTATGACTGGAATACGTATTGGGGACGACAATAATGATATTCTTGTATATATTTTAGAGATAACTGTATTGTATTTGAAGCTTTGCGGACGTCCATTGGTAGTTTTACTGTCGCAAATTTAGTTTACCTGGCGACGCGTATTCTAATGCAAAATAAACAAATCATTCAATTTTAGTCATTATTATAGTGTAAATTTTTTTCATTAAACGAAAATTCCGTGAAATGATGTTATCTTCTTTGGCGCCGAAACTAGGTGACGACATAAGTATGCTTCCGGCATCAACGTAAACACCGGGCGTTTTCTGGTTTCTTGTCCGCTTCAGAATGTAATAAAATTTGATAAAAAGAAAATTTCTAGGTGCAAAATGTGAGTTTTTTTGCTTATTATTGGAGAAATTACATGTCAATACATTCCGGAATTCAAAATGTTGGCTTCCTTAGTTACAGACAGGAAGATAGAGAATTTTACGCACATTGTCATCCAATCAGAACCATTGATACAAAATAATTGCATTAGAATACTTCTTTCATTGGCAGTTCTGTGCACTGTTACAGTCCCTGTAACGTAAAAGTTAACAATACGATCGATGCCCGAATCATGTACGGACGATGTCCGAACAATGTACGTACGCTTCCCAAACGGTGTACGAAGGCAAACGACACGCTGACCAAACAATGTACGGACGCTGAACGAATGATGTACGAACGAAACCATGTACCATAAACCATACCATAAACGAAACCATAATCGCTCTCTCATCGTATGGTTTTGCGTACATCGTTTCGTTTAGCGTATAACGTATCGTTAAGCGTACATCGTTTTCTTTAGCGTACATAGTTTCGTCTAGCGTATACGGTATTTATAAATAAAAATTAATTGTGTTCTGTTAGAATCTGCAACAATATCTTTTTATATAGGTAATCATAGACTTAACATTTAGATTGGATGGATATTTCATTGTTTTTGTTATCATTCAATAAAATATAATGTATCTGACTTTTCATCCAAATTTATCAACCTACAAAAATTATTAGAAAATGAATACTGAAATTAATGTATATATATGTAACACTATCAAGCATGTCCGATTCCCCAAAACGTGTCTATTTTGCCCAAACGTGTCTTTTAAATTCCATATCGCAAAACGTGGCCGATTTCACACCCCCAAACGTGTCCGATAATTGTTTTTCGCCAAAACGTGTTCATTTTAAAACACCTGAACGTCATACAACTTTTAGCGCTATTATGTCCTCAGTGACGCCAATAACGTTTACGGCAATTCCGTTACAGAAGACACGATTGTGGATGTCGGGTTTCAGTTGGATTCTAAAAAAGATTAAAGTCACTATCAGAGAACATAAATGCTGCATTTTGGAAACAATTACCGGAAATTAAAAACAGAAACGGCGTTGGAAGAAGAATTAGTTTGTTTAACATTGGTTTGGGATATTTAGCACATAACCAGTTTGATTTGCAACATATTGATTTACTCTTGACTGTAATTGCTTAATGTTCAGTGGCAAATATGTCATGCATGTTTAGAGCAAACATAAAAATTGCAATTAATTAGTTTTGTACAGTTAAATGTATCGTTTATTAAGTAAATTCTTTTGTACTAATATAGTCCGGTGATGTCTAATTGCCATTGCTATTGATGGATTTCTTATTAGCTCTTTAAAGTATGTACTGGTATTATTTTTTTTTTGTTTTAAAATACTTTGAGTTCGAGCATCACTAAAAAGACATAAACAAGATGAATAAATGTGCATTGACCATTAGCATCCTTGATACCAACTTTATAATTCATAATCGTTAATTACTTAAATGTATCGTCAAAATACGTTCAAAACTGTATGCATAAATTCCTTTATACTTTTTTAAGACAGAATAGTCAACTCAGACACGCCTAAACATAAAAAGGTGTACTCGACTTTCTTCTCCTTTTGATGAAATATTTGGGAATTTTCTCTTCCCTGTCGACGGGGGCAAAGATGCAAATTAATGCTTTAAAAAGAATAATTTATTATCTTTCTTTGGAATTTTTTTTCGGCGGAATTTATGCTAATGCACAAAAAATATCCACATGTATTTGCACCTACCACAATCGACTGTTTTGTGAAAATTTGTCTATAATTTATAACTTTACAAACATCTCCGGCTTCTTTTACTTTAAGGGTCTCTATACTTTAGCATTAGTGTTCATTCAGTTATAGAGAAAGTCCAAATAACTGTCCATTCCTGGGAAATAATGGAGCTTACACCCCAGTTCTATTGTTATACTTCATAGTTTCTATTTCTGAAACAAGTGTAAATTGAATAGATCTATTGTTACGAATAACAATGGATTTTGATCACAGGGTGTGACGAGTGGGGTTTCTGGAAACCCCTGCTCCTACATCCCGGAAACACAGTACATTTTTATTCATAACAATAGAAATTGTTTTTTTTTTTAATAGCATGAACTTAAGAGATTACTTAAGTGTTCACTACAAGTTGTTTCAAGACATATTAAAAAAAAAACATATTTAAGGAAATTCCAATAGCGAAACAAATATTTAGCTTCAATTTTGAATTAAAAACAACATTTAGAAACTCCTTTGCTTGAAGCTGAAATTTGAATCCCATATGGCAATGTCTTAAAGAACATACATGAAAAGAATTTTTATTTGAATTATACATTAAAAACATATTGTTTTCATTTGGACTAAGTCTTAAGACTAATGATGGCACCAAGGGGCGGATCCAGCCAATTTTTAAAAGGGGGGCCAACCCAGGATAAAAGGGGGGTTCCAGCTATATGTCCACATTATAAAACATTGATCGTTAAAAAAAATGGAGATTCCAACCCAAGAAACCCCCCCCCCCCTTTTTGGATGACCCCAAAAAAGGGGGTTTCTTCATATGCAATCTTTTTTTTTTATGTTAAGCGATTCCGGTCGACAGGTTTCTAATCCAGACACTTATCCCTCAGTATGTTCGAATATTAATGTTTGTGTAATGTTGAGAAGAAAGGGGGGCGGGGCTTTTTTGATAAAACCGTAACATGTAAAATTACCTTAACATAAAATGAAACATCATTGATCTGGCATTAAAACTCGATTCTCCAAATAATTTAACAATTTAGGCAAAAGCCTGAATGTCAAAAAAGTTAATAATTTAAGAGTTACCAATATGAAAGTTCTACTACTTAAAGGCCTATTTCCCCTTTCTTTACCCAACAAGGAAACTTTCCCGTAAGCCGTTGATTAAATAGCGTCAGAATATTTAAATAAACGTTCATGTAATATGATGCTGTCATGTGTTAAAACAGTTATTGGTCGATCAAATCGGTATACATTGTATATCATTTCATCTGCACGTTCGGGATGACCCTTCAACCCAAACTTCTGCGTCGTTCGGGTCAAGTAAGGTCACCCGGGCCGTGCAGACAAAATGCAATATACCAGTTTGCTTGTACCATAACTATAACATATTTGTGTGTCCAGTTGATGAAGGATAGAAACGTATTTTTACATACAATGAAATAACAACAAGGTGTATTTTCTCTAGGAATTAACCTTGCGATCTTCTATATCATGATTTTTTGAATTCAATAATGCACTGCTAAACTAATATTGAATAATTATATAAATAATGCTTAAACAATTGCTGAAATTATAGTGTTGTCAGTCTAAAAATAGTATACATG